TTGTAACCATGGCAATGAGAGGATATACGATAGAATGAATGTAAAACCAATGTTCTCCCAATGTAAACTATCACATAATTCACAATAAAACATTTAAAAAAAATACTACATGTAGCTGTCTTTTGCTAGGCACTGGAGTTTTGGTTTCTCTGACATGTTCAGATGGAAATAAGTTCAAGAAGTTTCATATAAATTAATATATGTACATCAATGATAGGTTATTTTATTTCTTTTTCTTTAACTTTTTATTGTGAATGAAGGTTTACAGAGCAGATCGTCGGCTTTACATTCAACAAATCATACATTTTGTTTCATCTCAATGATTGCAATTCCCTCCACGGAACATCACTTATCCTCCTTCCTCCTTCCTCCTTGTGTTTCTTGTTTCCATTCCTTCTTCTTTGCCAACCCTTCTAGATTTTATCCTTGGGTAAATGCTGCCCTTTTGATCTTGAATGGCTCATCATCCTGTGATGTGTGTACCTCACTAGTGCTGATAATTGAGCTACAGGGGGTAAGTTCAGGTCAAGTCCTCAAGGATGAACAAGGGTCATAGTCTTGGGGCTCCATCAGTCATTGTTTTGGTTTTGTTGTTTGTTTGTTTTTTAATGATTTTGAGTTGTGTTCCACATTTCTTCCAACTCTTGCCAAGTCTTCCTTATGCAATCCCTTTCAGAGCAGTAGGTAGCTGTAGCTGGGCATCATCTAGTTCTTTTGGTCTCAAGGTCATGGAGACTAATGTTCACATGGTCATTAGTACATTGAACTCATTGTTTACGAGCATCTTCAATTTTCAACACTCTTATTTCCTCCAGATGGGGAGAGACCAATAGCTGCATCTTAAATGTCCACTCATGAGATTTTTAAGTCCCCAGTCACTATTCACCAAAGTAAGATATAGAAATTGTCTTTGTGGACTGTGTTATGCCAATTGACCATGATGTCCCTTGAGACTACAGTCGTGAGTTCTCAGGCCTAGCAACTCATTCACTCAAAGTGTTTAGTAATGTCTAAGAAGTTTTCATAACTTTACCCCCTGTATGTTCCACTGTATTCATGGATATGTTTGCAGCAAAGGTACAAATACCCTCTTTCAAACCTTTATATATTTGCTTGTATTTTCCTATTCTCTGTCCCATACCCATTCAGCCTGTGTATCTATCCATGTATCCACCTGTAGATCACTGTTATAGCTGAATTGTGTATGTAACAATATTTGCCTCAATTATTTTAAATTTTTTCACTCTTTCCAGTGTCTTTCCCTGTCATAATTTTTCTGCCAACTTCACTTTTGTTGTACTTTGCCTTCTCTTTCACCCAAGTTAATGTGGGTCTACCCTTTAGCCAGTAAATTACTTCCTCTTCCCTCCCACCCTTGGTAACCATCAAAGAACGTTTCTTTTAGTGTGAAAACTTTTTCTTGACTTTTTACAGTAGTGGTCTCTGACAATATTTGTCTTTCTGTGATTGACTAATTTCACTCAGCATAATGTCTTGTAGGTTCTTTCTTTCATGGTATGAGATGCTTCGCAGATACATCATTATTTAATGTTACAGTGTGATGCTGTAGGATAAGCAGGGACTGCAAGGTCAGTTTGAACCACAAAGACAGCAGTTCAAACCCACCAGCTGCTCCTCAGAAACCCTACACAGGGTCGTTATGAGTCGGAACCGACTCAACAGCATTTAACAACGACGACAAATATACCACTGTGTAAAATGGTGTAGTACTTTCTCAAAAAGTTGGGAATAGAAATAACATATGACCCAGCAATCCTTCTGCTTGATCTATATCCTAGAGAAATAAGAGCTGTGACAAGAATAGACATGCGTACACCCACTTTTATCACAGCATAAAGATGGAATCCACCTAAATACCCATCAATGGAAGACTGGATTAATAAACGTTGATACGTACATACATGATAGGTTATTGAAAGAAAATTGGAGATGTTTGGAGTATACAAAATCCTTTAAAAATTTGTCTATAATTTTTCCTTATTACATAAGTAGTAAGTGGCCATTATAAAATCTTAAAGCTTTATAGAAATACATAACATGGATAATAAAAGTTTCTGGAAATTTTTCCTTACCACGGAGAACTCCTGGCAAACAGCTTTTTTTTTGGTATATTCTTCTAGATTTGTTTCCATGCATTTACTAAGAGAATGGCATCCAACTCTATGTACTGCTTTATAGTTGACATTTCTTGCTTTAGAACATACATACAGATCTAATGTATTCATTTTAATGGATGAATAGGGTAGTTTTGTATGGGTGTATCATCATGTATTTATCCAATTTCCTAGTAGTGAACATTTGGATTATTTTTGCCTTTGTACACATATTTTTCTGTATCCTTCCTAATCCTGGTATGAGAAGTATCTATCTTGGAAGTAGGATTGCTGGATCAAAGACTCACCACTATTCTGATCTAAAAATAACAGCCAAGGTCTTTCGAAGTGTTGTCACTATTTGAATCCTTAGTTCAGGCGTCCGTTCTACTGTTCTGCCTCAAAGTTTGCTTTCTCTGATCTTGTGTCCACATGTATTTGGTACTATATTTACTCTTTTCTCTTTGTTTTTTTTTTTTTGTTGTTGTTGTTGTCATTCTGCTTTTGATACAGAGACACATCTGAGGAAGAAATAGCCATGGACAGAGCTATTGTAAGTAATTTTTCAAAACGAATCTACTTGTAATCCGTTCTGTACCTGATTACCAGAACCAGTTGTTATCCGCTCATTTCTGACTTATGATCACCTATGTGTGTCAGAGTAGAACTGTACTCCATAGGGTTTTCAATGGCTGTTTTTTTTGGTGAAAAAAATCACTAGGCCTCTCTTCCAAGGCACATTTATCTGGGTGAACTTGAGCCTCCAACCTTTTGGTTAGTAGCCAAACATGTTAACTGTTTGTACCACCCAGGGACTCCATTAGAGATAAATAATGCTTTCACTAAATATATACTGTTGTTTTTGTTAAGTGCCGTTGAGTCAGTTCCAACTCATAGCAACCCTGTATATAGGGTTTTTAAGGCTGTTAATAATCTTTAAGGAAGAGGAGAGCCTCATCTTTTCTCCAGGGAGTGACTGGTAGGATTGACCTGCTGATCTTGTGGTTTGCAGTCTAGTTCTCATCCTATAGAACCACCATGCCCCCAGTGTATACTACTGGATGAGGTTAATTAGTGACAACTGAGGATCAAATTATGTTACTTTCCTAGGATTGGGCATAACAATTCATCAAGAAAACCACCTTCTGCTTTTGTAAATTATCCATGTAGCAGCTTTTTCAGGCATATGTTGTAGCTTATGTTACTATGGAATGACTTGGGAATTGTAAATGATAGATGAAATTTCTTAGCAGTAGACATTTAAAAAAATCACCCTCTAGTTGTATAGATTTGAAATTAGTTTTATAAACTACCTTCTACAAAACTTGTCCCAATTCTCAGTAATTATCCAGTGTAGTACAAACAGTTAATGTGCTTGGGACCTCTGCTAAAAGGCCTGGTGATCTACTTCTGAAAAACAAACTAGCCAGTGGAGTTTGGAGCACAAACTCTACTCTGACATCCATGGGTTAGAATTGACTTGACAGAAACTAGTAATTCCAGTGCCTCAAAGCTTTACGATATTATACTCAGAAATTATTAGTAAGCATACAGCCTTCAAGGTATTTAAATATGGTATATGTATATTTGTCTATGCAAAACACAATCAAGCCTCTGTTTTCCAAATTATCTGCTATCATTAAAAAGTTGTTGGTAAATAGCTGAGTCATGAATTTTATTTATCACATTATAGATAATATGACACAACTGAAGTTCCTCTTAAATAATAGGTCTAAGAACCTGCTGAGGAACAATGTGGTCCTTAGAATCAGGCTATACGTGGGTTAGAATTCCTACTCTTCCATTTCCTGATTGTGAGACCTTGGGCAATTTAATTTTAATCTCTCTATGCCTCAGTTTTCTCATCTGTAAAATGGAATTAAGAGTAGTGCTGTTACCCTACAGGGCTATTGAAAATATAGAATCTTATGTGAAGTGTTTAGCTCAATGCTTTATTGTTGCTCTTGGCTGTGATGGAATTAGCCCCCAACTCCAAGCACAATGGCATCAGATTTTATAATCCGTACTGCTTTCATTGACTTATTTCACTGATTGATTTTAAGAAATAGATCACCAGGAGTTTCTTCCTAGTCTGTCTTAGTCTGGATGAGCTGCTGAAACCTGTTCAGCATTATGGTAGTACTCTAGCTTTCACTGACAAATGTATGATGTGTGCACATGAGGTGCATTGGCTGGGTATCAAGCCCAGGTCCCCCTCATGGAAGGCAAGAATTCTACCACTGAACCGCCAATGCCCTAAGCTTAGGACTTGTTGTTGGAAGTGCTGTTGAGTCAGTTCCTACTCACAGCAACCCTCTATACGGGTTCTGAGGCGCACTTGTTGGGTTTCAACCACTGATCTCATGTTAGCAGTCCAGTGCTGAGCCAGCAGTGTCACACCAAGACCAGAATATATGCTTGACACCAAACAAAACCAAACCCACTGTCATGGAATCAATTCTGACTATGTCATAGAGACCCTATAGGTCAGAGTAGAACTGCTTCATAGGGTTTCTGAGGCTATAAATCCTTGTAGATGCTGCATCGCTCTCTCATGGAATGGCTGCTGGGTTAGAACCACCGATCTTCAGTTAGCTGTCCAATGCTTAACTCACTGCACAAGCCGGGATCCCTAAATGTTTGATAGTGATTATTACTTGTATTGTCATCATCATGTTAATACCCAGATCCAGAAAGCTTAGATTCCACTCCTGATATTGTGGCTCTGCTGTTAGATGCTGGGCAGATCATTTAACTTTTCTAAGACTAGGCTTTCTCAGCTAGAGAATGGGGCAACCGTCTCTCACCGAGTTGGTGTAAGGAACAAATGCATTGATGTTTTTGAAGGTGATTTGCATATATATGGCAATGGGTTTCAGAAACGCTAAGTGTAATTATGATTGTTGTTATTAATAATAGCTCTTGCATTCAGTTGGGCCATTGGTTTAAAGATTTCAATGACTATGTACTTTTCTTTTGCATCAGTTGGAGCAGAAAAAGGGGCAAGGAATGGCTACAATTTCCCGTGTAGCATACAGGTAAGAGCTTGGTTTATTCATAGCTAGTACATTTAGTTCTGATTTTCCTTCCATTTAACTCCATATATGCAGTCTGTTGGACAGAGTTGTCAGAAGGAGATCAAAGTACCTGGTAGTTATTTTACAGATGCTGTAATTGGACTCTTGCCTTCATAAAATAAGTTGTTTTAGTTGGTCTTAGCACAGCCTAGCAACTTGCTTGCTGCTTCTTTGTAGTGAAGAGAAAATGTGGTACAAAGTGGTCATGATTTTGGGGTGAGGGTATAAAATATCTGTAATGGTCAAAAGGTCTAAAAAATATTGAGGCAGTATACTGAAAAACAACACAAAAAGGAGTCTTGGTCTTATTCAGACACATGGTCCAATTCACCACTACCACCATCACCACCACTACCACCCCTGCCTGACCGCTATACTGGCTGTTTGGATCAGCTTGATGTACTTTAAGAGGGACATATTAGCCAAGATGGCTCATGGAAAGATCACTAGAATTTTTAAGGATCCCAGTTAGTATAGTAGATTACAAGCTGGGCTGCTAACCACAAGGTCAGCAGTTTGAATCTACCAGTTGCTCCACAGGAGAAAGGTGAGGCTTTCTGCTCCTGTAAAGATTTATAGCCTCAGAAATCCTATTCAGGGTCGCTATGAATTGGAACCAACTCGGAGGCACACAACCAACAACAGAGGTCTTCTAGGGGTCCTGGTATGGTGCTGTGGGATAAAGCACTGGACTGCAAGGTTGGTTTGAACCGCAAGGTCTCAGTTCAAACTCACCAGCTGCTCCTTGGAAACCCTATGAGTCAGAACCGACTTCAAAGTACTTAACAAGAGGCCTGTTGCAAGCAAGAGAAGAGATCTACAAATAGAGTGGGTAGGATGAGCAGGGACTCCTCCAAATATGGATTAGAGGAGTGTGAAAGTATTTCTTGGATTGGACATAGAAAGATACTTTGCACTAACAACAGGTACATCTCACTTTCTACCACTAATAGAAATGTATTCTTAAAAAAAAAAAAAATTTTCTTTCTACAAATCAAAATGAAAAAAATATATATACTCATATAGGTAGTTTGTGAATCTGAAATAAGCTCCTTAATTGGATATTAAAGGAATGTTTGATGAGCTTGCCATTATGCGGGTTATGGTCAAGGACAACCTTTTTCTTTTGTAACATATCTTTTAGTGGACAGAGTAATTGGAAAGTAATATTGGGTCTTTGTGATTTGGGAAAATGTCATCTCCCCAAGATTCAGTTCCTTCTTCTGTAGAATGGGGGTAAAATGAGGCAAAACATGTGGAACAAGAGCCCCAAAAATGTTCATTGCTATCATTGTCATTATTATAAATATATTAAAGACTAAGCCTTCTGCAGAACATATCTTTATAAACTAATTGAGCAGGTACCTATACGTGGTGATGATGGATAAATTGGAGAGCAGAAAGCTAAAAGGTCTTCTCTGAAGTATTAAATTCTGATTACTCCATCTTCTCTATTAAGGATTATAAATTTCTAGAGAAATTATATGTCTAGCCAATTTCATCATAATACAAATCTCACTGACCATTCCTTTGAAATATTTCGAGTAATCTGTTTGGATATGAAAAAATGTACCAGATTTCTGTATGTTGCTTTCCATCATTTCTTATAGTTCTGGTGTGGTGCTGGAGGATAAACACTGGACTGCGAACCACAACTCTATACGGGTCGTTATGATTTAGAATCCACTCGATGGCATGTAACAACATCAGAATCACTTCTTAAGATTTTCCACTTAATAGTTGTAAAATAACAGGAGTCCTGGTAGCATAATGGACTATAAGTTGGACTGCTAACTGCAAGGTCAGCAGTTCAAATCTACCAGCAACTCTTGTGGGAGAAAGATGAGACTTTCTGCTTCCAGAAAAATTTGCAGCCTTGGAAACACTATACAGGATTTTATTCAGAACCTACTCGACAGCACACGACTAACCAGTTGTAAAATGTTTGATATTGATGGACTACCAGTTAAGTCAGATGCCCAGAGTTTGGCACCAAAGACCACGTCACACACTGTTGATATAACTGCAATGTCTTTCTTTTTGTTCTCCTTTTAAGCTGTGTTTGTCAGGTCATCATGAAGGCCAACTCTTCCTTAGAACCCACTGAATTGATGAACAGGATCAAAAGTAAAATACATGGCAATCTGACCCATGGAAACTTCACACAAGACCAATTGGTGTTATTAGTAAAGTCTGAACATATTTCAGTAAGAAAACTAGGTAATTATATTTGGGGATGGGTGTTTGGGGATGAATTCACTCTCTTTATTGTTAAGCCCATAATGCCTAGTAGGCAACCTAGAGCTCAGAGAGCAGAGAAGCTACCTTCCTGTTCCTTTCCACATGCTAAGTGCACACTTGCTCTGAAAACTTTTCTACTTTTAAGAATGTATGAAAAACAAAAACAAAAAACCAGATACCAGAGGGCTTAATGAGATCATTGGTCAGCTCTGGGTGTTAACAGTGGACAGTTTATCAACAAAGTGAGAACATGTCTCTCTTCCATAAATAGTCAGAGACCTGGGGAGTCTCCTGGTTATACACAGTAAATGTACCATTACTGTTGTTATGTGCCATTGAGTCATTTCCGACGCCTAGTGACTCTATATAGGGTTCTGAGGCTTGAAATCTTCAGGGGAGCAGTAAACCTCATCTTTCTTCTGTGGAGAGGCTGGTGGGTTTGAACCACAAACCTTGTGATTCACAGTCCAGTGCTTATCGTATGGAGCCACTGCTCTCCCAAATGCCCTATAGATATTCACTAATTTATTGATTGACTCAGCCAACCTATTCATTTTAGAAAATGATCTGGGAACTGCCCCAGATTTCTCTCCTGGGCATTTTCTTTCCAGATCAGAAGATCTGTAGTGGTGAAAGGGAATGGCTCCCAGATCACTCCGCATCCTTCTCCATCGCAGCTAGCTTTGTTCATTTTTCCCAGTAGACAGCGGTGAAAACACTGAGCTAAGCCAGATAACACACACAGGCTTTAGAACGCACAATCCTTGGCAACAAACTAATTAAGTGGTGTAGGGCAGTCCATAATTATTCAAGGTGAGTGGAGGATGGAAGGCATAAAAGTGTTGAAGCCACAGGCAGAGCCCACCATGCAAATGACACTAATGAAGGTGTCCTGACAGTGGGAGAAAGGCATCTTTCCTCTTCCCTCAGAGAGGAGACAGAAATGGCTGTGCAAAATTGGCTGGGCCACTGCTTGGACCACCGTGTCAACAACTGAGGGCAAGATTTCCAGAATCAGGTTTATGTACTCAGTAGGTGTTCTTATCCTAGTTCTTTCTATGTGATAATAGTGGGCAGCAAAATCTTGCCCTAGCTGCCCTTCAGGAGAGTTTTTAATTCTGTCCCTCAGGACAAGACATATCTGTCTACATAGGTGATGTCAGATACCTTGAGTTTACTAAAACCAAGGTCACCCCAGAGTCCACTAAGAGAAGAACCGCTCAGAAAGAAAAGTTGACCTAAACTGTCTTGTTCTCGCACTCCAAATTAATAGTGCATACGTAGTGGTTATGAGTTGGGCTGCCAACCTCAAGGTCAGCAGTTCAAAACTACCAGCAGTTCCATGGGAGAAAGATGAGGCGTCCTGCTCACGTAAAGATTTACAGCCTCAGAAACCCCTGTGCAGGGGCACTATGAGTCGGAACCGACTCCACGGTACTTAACAACAACAACTTAGGAGGGAAGGTGTGTGGGGTGGTGCAGACAGTTAAGCACTTGGCTACTAACTTTGAGGTTGGTACTCACCCAGAGGTACCTTGAAAGAAAGGCCAATCTGTCTCCAAAAAACATATCAGTCACTGAAAATTCAATGGGGCACAGCTCTGTTTTGACACACATGGGACACCATGAGTTGGAAGTGACTTACCTAGGAAGGAGGTGATGGGCAGGTGGAACTTTTGATTTTCACTCTAAATCCCTTTGTATGGCTTAAAATGGTTTTCAATGCATATGTAACATTTTGTAAAAAGCAAATAAAAAACAAAAAATGTTCTATGAACTGGTGGTTTTCACAAAAAAGATTAAATGCACTGCTGTACTTCATATGACTTATTGAGAAAGAGAGAGAGAAACTATTTAATGATATTTTCAGGGAAGCCTGTTTTAAATGACCTATAGAAAAGAAGAAGAAGAAGAAGAAGAAGAAGCTTCTTCTTTTATTTGCTGATGTTTATGTGCATGGTAATAGTGATGGGCTGTAATGACTGATCATAATACTTTTAAGTGTCTTTTGCCCTTTAAAATGTGCATACATTTTCTCTTTAGAGCCGGGAAAGTGCAAAGCCGATGAAACAGCCTCTAAATTCAAAGGGACATATAAGTGGCTATTAACCAACCCTACTGAGAAAGCCCAAACTAGATGCATAAAAAATGAGGAAAGCAACGCTACTAGAATCTGGTATGTACCAGCAAAGTTCTAATTGCTAGTTCAGATCCACAAAGATCCACTTATTTGGGCACATGCTTTACTGCCATTTGTCTCCATGGCAGGGTTCTTTTTGCTTCCCTCCCTGCCCCCTCTTCTCCTTCTCTGTCTTTCCTCCATCCTTTTTCCTTCCCTTTTTCCCTCCCTCCCTCCCTTCTTTGTCTTTTACCTTTTGAATCTATTTAAACCTACACAAGCGGCATCATAACATTCAACAAATGTTTTTAAGAATCTATTTAAACCTACACAAGTAGCATCATAACATTCAAAACAAATGTTTTCCAGAAGGAAACAGAGCAAACAGGCCCTCAGAATGCCACTGGAACACAGTTGTGTTTTCACCTAGGCTTTCTCATTCTGCCTTGAAATTTTATGTAGTAGTAATCAGCATTTTCTTATCAATAATGTAATTTGCCTTTTTATTCAATGGTTTATCAAACATTCCCCATGTTTTTACATTCATTTTCTTAATGATCATTTTGAAAAACTGCCTCAGAAGCTATCTCGCTGATGGACCATAATAATTCGCTAAATTACTCTTCTATTATTGACTTTATCATTTCGGTTTTAAAATACGCAGTCCCCGTTTTCTTATTCTCTGCTATTAGTGGTTTATGCCATTAACTTAAATGGGCAAGACCAGAGAAGCAGCAGGTTTTGACGGAGGCTTAAAAGTGCACTTTTAGAAGGAGACATCTTGAACTGCATCCTACTTAGTCCTCCTTATATATAATCACACAGCAAGGCATGCAGCTTTTAAAAACAATTATTGTGGTGGTATATATTTAAATAAACATTTGCCATGTCAGTCATTTTTACATGTACAATTCAGTGGCATTAGTTGTATTTATCATCACCGTCACCATTATCTTTTTCAAAATTTTGCATCACCCTGAACAGAAACTCAGTACCCCCTAGGCAGTGACTTGCCCCAGTTCCCTCCCTCCTTCCCACCTAAACTTAGGTCTGAATGCATTTGCCTGTTCTATATATTTCATAGAAGTGGAATCATACAGTGTTTGTCCTTTTGTATCTGGGCATGTGGTTTTTACTGTCACAGTCAGAGTTACCATCTAGCCTCACCAGCAAATGAGACTTTGCCACCTTCCTGCTACTACTACCTTTAGCTCAAACCCTAATCTCTTGCTTACCTTTAGTGCTGTCATCTGCCTTCTAATGGTCTACTACCTCCCAAATATATTGCACAATGCATCCAGATACTATTTCTGCTGTTTTGTCACTCTCCTGCTCAGGTTTCACACTGATTCAAGATCTAAGTCCAAATTCCTAAAGAAAAGAATAGCCAAGACCCACAGGCTTCATTTCCTGCCATTTCACTGGCTCAGTTGTCTCCCTTCCATATCATTTGTGCCACCCAAAAGTCCTATTTGGTATTCTGGAATCAGTGGGAACTTCCTGTGTCTCTTCCTCTGCTTATGCTGTTTACTCTGCATGGAGGGTCTTTCTCCAGCTCGGTCCCTTCAAAGCACAGTTCAGCTCAGAAATTGAAAATAAGTTCCTATGCTTGATAGTTTGATAGAGTCACCTTTGTTTATATAACTTTTCATATCATATAAGATTAAGTCAAAAAGTATTGCTACTAGAGTTCCAATTCACACGTGCACAACTTTATTCCAAGCAAAATTTGTTTAAACATGTCTCTGGGATCAGTGGATGACAGGTGACAAGTCCTCTCAGTAATGCACTTGTCTTTGTCTCCTTTGAATGTCTTAAAAAAAAAGATGATAAAAAAAGTATTGTGCAAATATTAGCTAACTCAAATACATGATTTGCATATCAGTCCAGTCTTTTAAGCAAGATCAGAACTAATGAAGACAATTTTATGGAACAAATTGTAACCGGGGACAATTCTTGGATTTACCAATAGAATCAAGAAAGCAATATCCAATCAAAACACTGGCTTCTGAGAGGACCTGATGAGAAGGTTATGCAAACTGTTTTTTTGTTTTGTTTTGTTTTATTTTGGATTCCAAAGAGGTGATCTGGATAGATCTTGAAGGCCACAGGACAATCATGGGGGCTTATCATGAAGAAGTTTAAGAAAATTGAAAACTGCGTTGGTGAGACAAAGTCTGGGAAAGTTGCACTGAGAAATTTTTTGCCATCAAGACAATGCACTGCTCATTCTTCAAGAGTAATAAGGACTGCCCTACAAGAATTTCTTTGGGTAACCTTACCCCATCTGCTGTACAGCTCTGATCTTGCCCCTTCAGACTTCTTTTTGTTCTCCAAACCCAAAGACCATTACAGAGGAATACAATTTGAGTCCCTTGAGGATACCCAAACTGCCATTTTTGACATGGCATAAACCTAGCACAGAATTCTTTGAGGAAAATTGGAGAGATGGACAACCACTGCTTCCAGAAGTGTATAGAACTACAATTGACATAATATAGGCCACAAAGACAGTGTTCTACATCCTACTTTTGTGAGTAGTGACTCAGCTCCTAAAACTCATGAGTGACCATCTGTGTAGAGGAAAGAAGAGTGATGAAAATGAAGGTGCTTAGAATCAGCTAATCCAAAGGATTACTGGAATACATAACATCAGTCTCCAGGACTCTGAGATGAAAAGAACTAGATGGTGCCCAGCCACTACTACCAGCTGCTCTGAAAGGGATTACATTAGAAGATCCTGAATAGAGTGGAAGAAAATGTTAAACAAAACTCAAAATTTTATCTTAAAAACAAGACATAACTGGACTTACTAGTCAGAACTAGACTAGAGGAGCCTGAAATTATGACTTTTGGTCACACTTCAGATCTGGACCTCAAATTCCAGCCAAGCAATAGATAGATATAGAGGGAGGACAACAACCCTAATGAGATATGCACACCATAAAATGGTCACCCATTCAAGATCAAAGGGCAGGATTTACTTAAGGACAGAATTCAGATGGGTTGGGAAAGAAGAAAACACAGGGACAAAGTGGGAAGATGATGATATCTTGAGGGAATTGCACTCATTGAGATGAAACCAAGTGTGTAGGGTTTGTTGAATGTAAAACTGATGCTCTACTCTGTAAACCTTCACTCAATTCACAAAAAAAAGTCTACAAAAAAAGAGAAGTGTACATACCTGGATGATGGATATGTCAAGAAACAATAGCTTTATTTTTGATATTTTTGCTTAATAAAGGTTTCTATGATTTTGTAGCAATAGTTTTTTTTTTAACTTACCCTTGTATTTTGCCTAATTTTAGGACAATTTTATTTAACATCTCAGATTACCTAATTATAAACTCCTCCAAAACTCGTCTGTCAGTTTGTTGTGTTGTAGTGACTTGTGTGTTGCTATTATGCAGGAAGCTATGCCATTGATAATTTAAATACCAGCTGGGTCACCCATGATGGAAAGCTTTCAGCATAGCTCCCAGACTAAGAAAGACTAGGAAGAAAGAGATTCAGACTACTTCTGAATGTTTAGCTACTGAAACCTTATAAGTAGCAGTGGAACACTGTCAGATACCAACAGAATATTGACTATTGAAACATGATGAATAGCACCAGAATATTGCCAGAAGTAGAAGCCCTCAGGTTGGAAGACACTAAAAATACAACTAGGGAAGATTTGTCTCCTAGCTTCGATGGTCAGAACTCAACTAGAGGAAGATAAACAAAATTTTGACAAAGGAAACAAGTGTACAGTGCTATAATTTGATGAACTTGACCTATACTTATGGATGTAGTAGCTCAAAATACCAACTGAGAGGGAAGGAGTATTCACATCAAGGATCAATCCTATCCCCTCTGTACACAGGATTGATAGGGATGGGCAACTTAGACATGGGATACCTAAAATGGAGGGACTATAAAGGCATGAAGTGACTGGTTTACAAGTTTTCAAGAGGGAGTTTAGTTTCAGAGTGTACAGGGGAAGGTAGAATCCTCACTGAATCGTTTTCATTTTGTCTACATGGGTCTGGAAAAAGGAGTTGGGAATAAGATTCTTATGATTCAATAGTGAGTAATTGTTATCATGACTAATTGCTATGGTCGCAACTGTAAAGGTAGAAGTTTTGTAATGAAAAGGGGGGAGTAGTTAATCTTACATTCCAGGATCAGAGGACCCTAAGACCATCAAGGGAGAAAGGCACGAGCTCTTCTCTATCCAGAGAAGCAGCGACACCAGAGATGAAGGCAGAGATGCAGCGAAGACTCTAGACTCGTGGAAGCAGCAGTCAAGAAATCAAAAGACATATTGCATTAGGCAAATCTGTTGCAAAAGTGTTCAGGAGCATAGATGTCATAGACTAAAGTACGCCTGACCCAAGCCATGATATTTTCAATTGCTTCTTATGCATGTAAAGATTAGACAGTAAACAAGGTAGACCATAGAATAATTGATGCATTTGAGTTAAAGTGTTAGAGATGAATATTAAAAGTACAATGGACAGCCAGAATATGCCTTAGAAGCCAGGATGGCTAGACTTCATCTCTCATACTTCAGACATATCAGGAGAGACCAGTCCATGGAAAAGAACATCATGCTAGGTTAAGTAGAGGGTCATCACACAAGAGAAAGACCCCAGTGAGATGGCAGCAGCAATGGACTTAAGCCTAACAATTTTGAGGATAACAAAAGGTGCAGGACCGGGCAGTTTCTTTCTGTTGTGCATAAGGTTGCTCTGAGTAGGAACCGACTCGACAGCACCTAAAAACAACCAGGTGAAAAACCATCCCATTTGTCTATGCTACCTCCATCATAGCATAGAATATACTGGGTGCTCAATCACTATGTTAGCAGATTTGAAATTTAGTTGAGTTGAATGACATAGAAAGGAAGGTGACTGATGAAGCCTTATACTAATGAAGCCCTTTACTAATCTCCATGAGGAACAGTAGGCGAGAGGATTTCCCACTTAAAATAGGAGTAGGAAGGGAAAGTGAGACTAAGAAGCCATTTTCAGAGGGACAAAATCTCTGACATTGCTATGCCTCTTCCCAGGCTCTCTTGCCTGCTTTCCCCCCTATCTAAACCACCCTGCATAATGGCCTTAGATTCATTTGCTCTCCAAGAGAAGAGTTTTCTCACTTTACAAAGAAATACTAGCTCTAGCCTGTTCTAGTTTAACCGGGAGACAGAAGTGGGTGAAGGGGAGGCATGCCTGTTCCTTCATCATTTGCTTTAAAACTATCCTTTCATCATCCTCCAATGTTCCTTTCTCCTCTCGTTTTCAGTTCAATCAGTATCATCTCTGGCGAATCTGAATGGGAGAAACCAAAGTTTAAACAATGCAAATTGCTTCAAGGACTTCCTGATAAAATTGTGGATCTTGCTAATATTACCATAAATGATGGTGAGACTCTTCTGTACATTCGAGAAATAATGGAACTTCAGTTAGTTTGTCTACTTGATCTGAGACCAGAGAGAGTACAGACAACTTCTTTTTGGAAAGTCTTACTTTGCACCAATCAAATATCAAACTAGATAGTTAATATTGATGGAGGTACATGAGAAGTTAGTGTATTAGTAATTTCTTAGTTTTGTTTTATTTATTTTTACTTTATAATTTTGGGGTTACTATTTTAAATTTTATTTTAATTTCAAATTTAATATGTAATACTTCTCAGGCTTCTGACCCCAGTCATTCAATTACCTACTACAGAAATATTTTATGTACCTCTGAGGAAAAAAATCTCTGTAACAGTTGTATCAATTTTGGCATTGCAGGATAGTGCACTGGACCACAAGGTTAGTTTGAACTACAATGTCGGTGGTTCAAACCCATAGTTACTCCTCAGAAGCCCTAGACAGGGTCGCTATGAGTCAGAACCAATTCGATGGCACATAACAACAACATACTACACTAGCAAGGTATAAAAGTACTTGTTTCAGAACACCTTCATCAACACATTCTCCCTCTCTTCTACAAACTGTGTAGCATGATATATATGTTGTTTTGCACAGAAATTATTATGTCAGTACATAATGAACATGGTAGCACAGTAGATTACTACACATGGTTAGCAGTTCGAATTTACCAGCTGCTCCACTGAAGAAAGATGAGGCTTTCTGCTTCTGTAAAGATATACAACTTAGAAAACCCTATACTGTGTCACTATGAGTCAGAAATGACTCGAAAGCATACAATCATCAACACCACCACCATGTAAAGAGTTTCCTTATTCCTTTTATTAATGCATTGTATGGATGTGCTACTAATTTAACTATGAATGAGCATTTAGGTTGTTAATATTTTTGCTTTAAAAATACTGCTATGATGGATAGCATGCATATGTTATTTTGTGCATGTAGGATACATCTGAAGCATAAAATCCTGAAAGTGGAATTGTGAGGTCAATCAAACTTCTGTTGGTGTCAAAGTTCTCTCTGTAATGGTTGTACTAATTTGTACAATTTATGCTACTACTAATGACTAGTTATTAACAATCTGAGATATGCAGATGATACAACCTTGATCGCTGAAAGTGAAGAGGACTTAAAATATTTACTGATGAAGATCAAAGAGCACAGTCTTCCGTATGGATTACAACTCAATGTAAAGAAAACAAAAATCCTCACCACTGGACCAATAAACAACATTCTTATCAATGGAGAAGAGATTGAAGTCGTCAAGGACTTCATTCTTCTTGGATCAACTATCAACACTCGTGGAAGCAGCAGTCAAGAGATCAGATGACGTATTGCATTGGGCAAATCTGCTGCACAGTAACTTTTTAAAGTATTGAAGAGCAGAGATGTCAGCTTGAGGAATAAGGTGCGCCTGACCCAAGCCATGGTATTTTCATATGGATGTGAAAGCTGGACAGTGAATAAGGAAGATCGTAGAAGAATTGATGCCTTTGAGTTGTGGTGTTGGAGGAGAATACTGAAAGTGCCATGGACTGCCAAAAGAACCAATAGATCTGTTTTGGAAGAGGTGCAGCCAGAGTGCTCCTTGGAGGCCAAGATGGCTAAGCTTTGTCTCTCATACTTTGGACACATTGTCCGGAGAGAACAGTCACTGGAGAAGGATGTCATGCTGGGTAAGGTGGAGGGTAAGAGAAAAAGAGGAAGACCCCCAACGAGATGGATCAGCCAGGTGGCATCACTGATGGACTCAAGTGTGGCTGCGGTAGTGAGGTTGGCCCAGGATCAGACATTGTTTCGTTCTGCTGTGCATGGGGTTGCTATGAGTCGGTTCCGACTCGATGGCACCTGACAACAACAATGACTAGATGCCACTTAACAACAACAAAAACAACTGCAAGGTATGAAAGTGCTTATTTCAGAATACCCACATCTATACAGAATGCTATCAGACATTGGGATTTTAGTTAACTTGGTAAGCAAGAATCTCAATGTAGTTTATAAAAATTATTATGATAATAGTTACATACCGTAAAATTCACTCATTTAAAGTAGACAATTCAGTAGGTTTTAGCCTATTTACTAGTTTTTGAGTAACCCTCACCACTATGTAATTCCAGAAAATTTTCATCACTCTAAAACTAAACCCTGTATCCATTAGTTTATTTCCCATTTCTCCCTCCCCTCAGCCCCTGGAAACCACTGTCTCTATGGATTTTGCCTTTCCTGGGCAATTCATAATGTTTCTGAGGTTCATCCATGTTTGTAGCATGTGTCAGTACTTCATTATTTCTTTTTTTAAAAAAATTATTGTGTTTTAGGATTAAAAATAATGTTGCAAATTAAGTTTCCATTTAGCAGTGTTTATACAGACTGTTCTGTGACATTGACTACAGTTTTCATAATATGTCATCAATCTAATTTTTTTTCAATTCCATTTGTTCTATTTCCTTTGATTTAGCATCCCTTCCCCCACCCCCCCTTGCCTTCCCTTCTTTGCTTTTGTTAACCATTTGGTCTCATTTAGTTAATTGTTTAAAGGAGCACATTACTCATGGGTGTTATAAGTCAATCTATTATTTGGCTGAAAAGTGACTTCCAGAATTAGTTTCAATTCCAAGTTCAAAGAGTATCTTAGAGTGATGGTTTCAGGGATCCCTCTAGTCTCTGTTGGACTAGTAGGGCTGGCATTTCTTAAGAATTTAAATTTGGTTCTGTATTTTTATCTCATCTTATCCAGGACATTTTATTGTTTTCCCTGGTCACAGTGTTTGGTAGTGGTAGTTGGACACTATTATCTAATTCTTCTGGTCTCCGGTTAGAAGAAGACTGTGGTTTCCTACATTCTCCTTTGATCCAGATGAGTACAGACCAATAGTTGTGTCTTAGATTCTTAGATGGCTGCATCAACGTTTTTAAGACCCCAGGCACTTTCCAACAAACTAGGTTGTAGAACATAATTTTTATGATTTACATTACATCAATTGACTAAGTTGTCTCATGAGACTGTGGTCCTATGCCTTTTAACCCAATAATAGAAAGTCTCCATATCTGTGACCCCTGTGCACTGTAATATATATATATATATATTGTTGCCATCAAGGTGGCTTCTACTCATAACGAACCTGTATAGGGTTTCTAAGGCTGAAAATATTTCCAGTAGCAGGAGGCCTCATCTTTCTTCCATGGAGTAGTTGGTGGAGTTAAACAACTTTGTGGTTAGCAGTCCAGTGATTATACTACAGTGCCACAAGTGCTCCATGATAATTATGTATGGATATTGTAAAAATGGTGTGGCAGGGATATCTGACCTACTCTAACTTCACAGGAGGGAAGGAGAATCAAGATCAACAGCCCCAAACTGATTCCTATGAAGCAGAGATCAGACACAATATGCACTCGCCAACCTTTTTTTTTTTTTTTTTTTCTGACCAGTTCTGACACCAGCCATCTCTTCCACCACATTCTCTACTTTTCTGATGTATTCTATACTTCATTGTAGTGGTCACACAGAACTCAGACAGTACTCACAATTGTGGAGTTTATTAGGGAAGTAACAGGTTACAATTCAGGATCGGGAACAAATCAGGATAGAGTTCTTTGGTCACATCCTCTTCTCAGCTGTGAATGTAGGCCTCTTGGCCCCTCAGTCCCTCAGTCTAGCTTCTGTCACGCTTGGGCAAATGTTGCAAAACTCTTTTAGCTTTGCCAACAAGTGACCAGAGGCACCCTGCTCTTCTAGCAAGCCTCCTGCCCAAAGATACTTAGATTTAGCACTTCATGGGGCAGGAAGCCTACCACACTGTCTCCTGCCAGTCTCCTACTTCTGCTGCCTCTGTAGTTGCCCTTTCTCTGCCAGTGCTGCTTCTTCTTTTTTAAGTTTTTATTGTGAATTGAGTGATAGTTTACATGGGAGGACACAGATATTACACTCATCGTTTCATTGTAATGATTACAGTCTCCTCCGTGCATCATCATTCAACAATGTTTGCTTCTATTCCCTCTGTTTGTTTTTGTTTTTTGGAAAGTACACAAAAACGCACATAGGAATTTATAAAGATTTAAACAACTCAAGGCACATTCTGAAAGCCTGCCTCCTGATTGCCAACACACAACCTTTCTTTTTCCATGAGTCTAGAGTATGCAACTGCTCTATCTCTCCATGTCCTCATCTCTGCCTGCTTCTCTGGATAGGGTCTCACTTCCACGCATTCTCTTTTGCCTTGATGGCCCCAGGGTTCTCTGTTTCTGGACTGTAAGGTTAACTACTCCCCAATTTTTGTTATAAAACTTCTACCTTTACACTTGTGACAGTTGCAGTGAGAATCTTGTCCCCATCTCCTTTCACCAGACCCATCTAGAGAAGAAGAAAACTATTCAATGGGGATTCTACCTTCCCCTACACACTCTTAAAATAAACTCCCTCTTGAAAACTTATAAGCCAGCCACTTTGTGCCTTTATAGCCCCCCTTCTGCCCCATTTTAGGTAGCCAATGTCTGAGTTGCCCATCCCTATCAACCCTGTGTACAGAGGGGATAGGATTGATCCTTGATGTGAAGACTCCTTTCCTAAGTTGGTATTTTGAGCTACTACATCCATAAATATAGTTCAAGTACATCAAATTGTAGCAATTTACATTTGTTTCCTTTATCAAAAATTGCAAGGTCAGTGGTTTAAGCTCACTATTTGCTCCTCGGAAACTCTATACAGGATTGTTATGAGTAAGAATCAACTCTACAGTATTTAACAATAACAACAACAACAGCAACCAATGTTCACTAGTTTGCAAATGTACCCAGAATAGCTCTCCTACTACTGGGAGCTGGGGGAGATGGTAACTGCTACTTGGACGCTGAGCCCACTGAAACAGTTTACCACAAGATAGAGCTGTGGGGAATGGTTGCAGTGCCTAACTGGAATGTCACAACTTTCCACTGTACTTACCAAAATTCTGTAGATTTTGTTGAATAAATATTTCTTAATCC